GCTCTACGACTGACAACAAAATTGAGTAAAAGGAACCAGATAACACTTTGTTGTTGTCGGTCGTGGGGCTTGAACTCAGGGCCTGGCGCTGTCCCTCAGTTCTTCGGCTCAAGGCGAGCGCTCTACCACTTGAGCCACAGCACCACTTCTGGTTTCCTGGTGGTTTTCGTTGGAGACGAGAGTCTCACCGACGTTCCTGGCTCCCAGGCCGGGCCTCGACCCACAATCCTCCAGATCTGAGCCTCCCTGACCGAGTTCTCTGGGGGAGGGATTGGCCAGAGGCCTTCCGGGAGGAGGCGTCCCGAGGCCAGTGTGGGGCGGGGAGGGGGGAACGGGGCTCCCACCCCCCTCTGTACTCTCAGCATGTTGCAAATGGGGAAACTGAGGCCAGGGGAGGGGGCCGCGGGCCTAAGGCCTCCCCCCCCCGACCCCATCATCACCTGCCCAGTGTGTGACGTGCGGCAAAGCGTTCAAGAAGCTCTGGTCGCTGCACGAGCACAACAAGGTGGTGCACGGCTATGCCGAGAAGAAGTTCGCGTGTGAGGTGTGCGAGAAGAAGTTCTACACCATGGCGCACGTGCGCAAGCACATGGTCGGTGAGTGGGGGCGGAGGGAGGGGGCCGGGCCCGGCCGGGCGGGTCGCCCACCAAGCCCCCAGCCTCGCCCCGAGATCCTCCGGATCTCAGCCTCGCACCCCGATCCTCCGGATCTCAGCCTCGCACCCCGATCCTCCGGATGTCAGCCTCCCCGGGGAGTCAGGGTGGCAGGCCTGGGCCGGGGGGAGGTGGGGGAGGGCTCCCTCCGGCAGGGGGACCCCACGGCCCCGCGTGTGCCCCACAGCCCACACCAAGGACATGCCCTTCACCTGCGAGGCGTGCGGGAAGTCCTTCAAACGCAGCATGTCGCTGAAGGTGCACTCGCTGCAGCACTCCGGGGAGAAGCCCTTCCGCTGCGAGGTGGGTCCCGCACCCCGGGGGGGCGGGGGGAGCCCCCCTCCCCGCCTTCCCACCCACTCCCCCTGGGGGGGGAAGAGGGGGGGAATCCGGGACTACAGGAGGGAGCGCGGAGCCCGGCCTGGAACAAGCGTGGGGTGGGGGAGGATCCTCCCTCCTTCCCCGAACCTCCGGATGTGGACCTCCCCCTCCTCCCCTCCCCCTCCCCCCCACCCCCCTCCTCCCCCCCCCCCAGAACTGCAACGAGCGCTTCCAGTAC